TTCCCCAAACCATTAGGAAGTAATATAATATAAACATGCTATATTCTCCAAAGAATATAGATTCACAGACTCCATCTGAGGTGGGATTTTTTTTCTCTCAAAATGAGCATATATTAGATTTTCACATGAGTAGGCAAGAATGTTTAATAGTTGAACATTCCAAAGTTCAACGTTTTCTTTCAAAGTCTTTGTTCTGTTCACAACCTTGACCTTTCCGTGTGCTGTTGCTTTAGTATCTCCTATTGCAAAGAAGTGTCTCAAAGCCTTTGAGATCATCTCTCTCTGCTTCTTTCCTCCAATTTAGAAGTATATTTTTACTGGACTGAGAAAATCTGACAGATGAAAATTAAGAAATATATTATCAGTTGCTATTAAATAATAAGAAATGTTGTTTTATATTTGTATAACATTTTATAGAATAAAATAAGTGTTTTTAATTTATTATACTTACTAGGGGAATTATAAATTGGAGTCAGTGATGATTTTTTCAAGAGAAAATCAAATTGGCAGAAGGAATCAAGAATATTATAACAAATTTCATATTGTTTGCATAATTCTAAAAAGACCACATTATATGCAAAAACTGTAGATCAAAAGACATAACTGGCAAAAAATAAAGTGTAAACAAACTTAATTGACTTTAGATTATAAAAAGCAGAGCAAGAGCTAAGTAAATAATTGAGATATTAGCAGCCATGAACATTTTAATTTGTGAAAAAAAAATAATAGCATAGGAAAATACTCATGATACATCAACTTTTAAATTGTGGAGAAATGCATCTGGAAAGAAATGCTCTGAAAGGAAATATAACAAAATACTAAGAGGTGACTCATTCATGTTCTGCTTCTTTATACTTTTAGGTACTTGTCACATCAACTTTGCAACGCAAATATATTAACATATTTCTTTTATGTTATCAGAAATAAATTTTAAAAAACTCCTTTCAAATACATGTCTCGTTTAATATTTTATAGCACTTCACAAGTTAAACAAGGCAGGGAGAATAATTTTTCATTTTATAGTTGAGAAGACTGGATAATCTCCCAATTGAAGGAGCTTAAAACAACACCCAGATCCTCCAAAGCCAGCTTCAATACTTCTTCTATGATATCATATCAGAAGGATGCAGGAAATAATATATATGAACATTCTATGAGTTTTTCACAATAAAGGCACAATGATTATAATCTGAGATGTTATTAATAATGTTATTTAATTTAATTGGTCTTCTTTATACATTCCTAACTCCAACTGAGAAAAAAATAAATGTATGGGATCAGACAAACGTTAATAAAAGGGGATATCAAAGTTAGTAAAATATGTCAGGAATAAAACCTCATAATTACATCTATGTTTGATTTATTATGATGGCAAGGATTGAAGAAAATCTAAAACTCTCCTGTTTTACTTTAGGAAGATGCTGAACATGGTACTCCAAGTAAGAATAAAGGAAGTCATATTAATAATACTAATAATGACTAAATGTAAAAGAGTCTGTAAGGTAAGACATAAAGGGTAAAGAAAGTTAAAGAGACTTGATAAATAACCTGTAGGGTTTTAATAAGCAAATCTATTTTAATCAGGGAGAAATTAAAGTAGAGGGTAATTTCTTTACAACTATTTATTGAGGGTTACTTACAGGCCATAATTAAGAGACGAAAGCAATCAATGAGATTAAAGCCTCATTCTTTTCCAGAAGCACATAACACTTTAGCAGTGGACGTAATTTAACTCCTGTGTATCCACACTCTAGCCACTTAATGCTGACCTCTTTCTGTAGTCCAGCACACCTATGGCTAGTGCCAGTCAGCAACTTTAGAGCAGAGATTGACTTATTCATCTTTCTATGTGCAGAACCTAGCACAGTGCTCAACAGTGTGCATTTGCATATGGAATCAAACTCATTTAGCCTGAACTAAATGAACTCAAAAGTTATATGTATTAGAAGAAATGTATAATATACCCACAAACTAATTAAATGCTCTGAGAGATTATCTGCACTCTCAGATAGCTTATGCTACTAGTTGCCTATTCCATTAGGTAACATAGATGCATATTTATACAGGGCAAATGTGTTTGATGAGTTTCAACCTCAGCCATTTCCCAGGCAGTAGCTTCCAAGTCAAGGGTCACAAATTTAAAAGATTACAGCCAGGAAAATAAAGATAATATGTGAAGTTGATTAGTTGCAATAAGCATATTTCTCTCACATTTCATTAGGACAGAGATATAGAAAAATATTGCTCCAACTGCAAAAATAATAACAAAGGGCAACTGATTCTCAGCCTCAGGGTCAGGGACACACAAAAAAGGAGTTGGGGGTTGGGCTCAACTCTCATGCCATTTCTATGTGGGCAGCTTCTGCTTAACTCCATCCGATGGTGCCAGTAGGAATACCGGACCATTGTAGCAAGATCTGACTTCTCAAGAATAGCTGGAAATCCAGGTTTTTATTTAAAACATCTCATTTTTAAAATGTCGGTAATTTTTTAAAATGCAAAACACTATGTAGGCTGAATAATACACATCTCAGAGCATAATTAACAGACAAGCTCCTGGTTTATGACCTCTGGTTTAACAATTTCACTACTCTATTTTTGGACATATAATTGAGATATTCCTGAAAAGTCATATAATTTGACTACTAGAATGTCAAGGATCAGCTTACTGATTAAAGAAAACTAAACGTTCAAGATTTTGTATGCTATTAGTCCATATTCATAACTTTACAAATATCAAGTATTTCACAAGCTCCGTTTATTATCAAAATGAAAATATCAAAGCCCAGAGGTCGATAATAGAATAATGAATATAATCATTATAAACTGTACTTTAAATGTGGTATAACTAAGGTTAGGTCACAAGTTCAAGTTGGTTCTCTATATATGCAGATGCATGATTATAGTTTTAAATGGTGACTAACCAGCCAATTATAGTCACTAGAAAGTTCTGTCATAACTGACATTTTAAATGAAGCATTTTGTTAAGAAAACTAAAATTTCAACCTCATTTTAATCACTTTAGTTATTCAGAATTCTGTTAATCAAGTAGGGAAAAAATTATCTTTTACACCTAGAATGATTTATCTGTTTGCATGGATGTGAGAAAAATGATCACATCTTCAACTAATAGATTACAAGCACAAAGAAAGTTCACATTACAGCTATGCTAATGAAAATTACCTTCAGGCTGTTACAACAGCTAGCGAATTAATTAACCTTTTGCCATAAAAATCGAGAAACTTCAGCAAAGACTAAGGTTTCTCTGTTTCTCTTGTTCCAGCTCCCTCAGCATTTTAGAACGTGAAATACTGTGCAGTTACTGAGGCAAACAAATAAAATATACGTAGATTTTATCAGCTCTGCATGTTACTACAATAAAACCACATAATTGTGGTTAAAATATAGCAAGTTGGATATTTCATCTTTTGTTTTAGTTAATGAAAGATGAGAAATAATGGCCAATTTTCTGTGAGGATCTTTACTTTTAGGAATAGGATCAGTAATTTCTTACTATGAATGTTGGCTATCTCTCAATTGTCTACCTTGTGACTCTGTGAGAAAATAAAGTTAAATAAAGCATATCTTTCGCCAATGTTTTAAAAAAAAACGAGTACAAACACACATTCTTTAAAAATTCATTTTCAAATGAATGAACACGTTATCTGTATTTGAGTGTATTGGTCAAGTATTTTGATAGTTTTCACTTGGGATCTGAAGTTTAAAAGTTAGCTAACATTAAATGAAACCATGATCTGGGAAAATAGGATTTCTCATAAACAATGGTAACATGAGCCACTGTATTTCATCAAGTTTTTAAAGGCAAGGATCAATAAGACTTGGTAAATGTGAAGATTACAGCAAGATTTAAGGACTACTAAATTACACTTTAAATACTGACATTATGATTTCACTTCTTTATGCAATTGTTCGCAGCCACATTTTATTTTTCTCTTTGATGTAGTATTATCTCCCTAAGAGGGTTAGCAGCTTCAATATTTAATTGTTCAATAACAAACAAGTAGAGCTGTCTTCTTCCACTAGAGAGTTTTTAGTTTTAATTAATTCATTATATAATTAGTCTTGACAATGGATAAGTTGTTCCCTCAGTAGGTTAGGAGACATTCTTGTTTAGATAATGGGTTAGGTGTTTTACAATGTTAGGGTATTTCTCTGTTATTCCAAATAAATGATGATTTGCCAAATTCATCTTTAAAGAGCTAAATTAGTGAACTCCCTCCCCAAAGTATTGTTCAGGAAATCAACTTTTGGTTGCAGGTAAGAGGTACACAATAATATGTTAAAGTAAGAAGGTGATAATTTTATGTTAATAAAGTGGGTAATGGTTATCCAGACAACTAAAGATGTATTTCTTTAAATATTCTTTAAATAAAATAAATTTCTTTAAATAAAAATATTTCTTATTTTGTATTAAGGGCGTATACATATTTCATGAATAAATATTTCAAATTAAGTAGCTATTCTAAACAATTTAGAACAAATAATAAATCTTTCATATTATATATTAAAATTTTCCAAATGAATCCTTCTTTTGTATCTATAAGGAAGATAGTTCTTTAAGGCTGGTAAATTGAGAATATTTACCAAAACATTTTTGGTTACTTCAATTGTGAGAAGACCTCTATTATAAAGCATATAGATTTAGGTAAGATGTACATCCACCTGAGATGTCAAGACTTAGTACATATCTGTCACATAGAAAATTCACAATAAATATATTTTGAATCTAAGAATACACAAAGTTTCAAAAGAAATTGGACACTTCTGCCAATACTTAAATTTATCTGTGCTAATTTAAACTAGATTTAATATTATCATTGATTTTTAGATGACCATGTAAAAGGTGATAATACATATGCATATATGAATAAAAAGCATATCACTTTAAAAGGCTTAAAAATAAGAATATAAATTTATAATATTCCTTAAGTATTTATAGGAACACACATGTTATCCTTTGGAAGATATGATCTACATACCTGACAGGTAGTGTTCTGTCTCCTTTCCTCCTATCCATTTCTCTTTGGGGAACAGGATACCAACGGAAATTCAGTTTCCAGTTAAAACCCCCATAAGTCATGTCTGACCCAGCCATATATTCAAAGGTATCATCACTAATCACATCAATGATGGGGCATACAACTGTTTTCCTGCAGAAAAATTAAAACCAGTTTATGTATAAATAATAATTTAAATGTTACATTAGCTTCTTCAAACTCAATATTGTGGATATGTTGAAATTTAATTATTTTGTAACTTTAATATGCCTTTATTTCCATTTTATCCTTTTTCTCTATGGAATTATTTCATTTTAATACATCTTTGTTACAGTCTACTTTATAGTATCATGTATAATCTAATCAAATATACTAATTGATCTTCAAGCTGATTTCCAAATGCATTCCAAGTACTAACTCAGCAGGATGAACATGGTCTGTTTTTCATAAAACCTCCACCCACAGCATGATTAGTGAGTGGCTTTGAGATTACACATTATTTTATCTGTAGTCCACTGCAAAGCACTAGCACGCAGGGAGTGGAGAATGGATGATGGCAAATTAGATCTGGTAGTTTGTCTCAAAGGGGAAAGGTTAGTTTAAAGAGATAGTTCTAAGAAAATCTTCATGGAGAAAATACCTACTAGGAAAAACAAACAAACAAAAATCCATAAACAGCAGCAATAATAAAAATCATGATCTATCAGTATAAGTAAATGTTTCCTATTAAAGATATCAGGGTCATGACAATTTCTGAGTGAACTACCCTAGACCTCAGAATTTACAGTAACAATCTGCATATTTTAAGATAGGGAAAGATAAGCAACTTCAGTTTCTGGTGTTTTATCCCATGACCCATTTTTCTTAAAGTAAGAGGAAGAACCAGGAAATCTGGTGTTCTGGAAGGTAGCTTTTCAGGGTAAGAAAATTTTCAATATGGGAAATCCTTAGGTACTCTTTTAATCCATGCTGTGCCTTTTCCAGTCTACCCCTACTCCTGGCTTATATGTTTTATTATGGTATCAACCTTCTGTCATCCCCACAGTAAATGTTCAGGTCTACCCAAGACTGCATTGCTTGTAGCTAATTCCAGAGTAGAGCTTGTTTTTTCATATTTGGTAGAAGGGAAATATGCTTTTGAATCCCTCATTGATGTGAAAAGCAAAGAAACGTTGTACATTTTTCATTCTAGTTTTGTAGCACCAGTATCACCAACACCCATTTTCAATTGGGTCCTATATTCCACACAATTGGCCAAAGCTTAGAGTTCTCTAAAATCAATATGATTCACCTATCCTTGGAAAAGCTTCTTGGTGACTCTGGTCCCTACAAAATCAATATCTTTCTCTCTTTCTTCATTAAATTTAAAGATTTAATTTGTAGGAAGATGAAATTAGGTCTAATAACCTTGAACAGAACTTTATTATCCAGTTATGGCAACTTTAGAACTTACATGCAAGACAAGACATTAGAGTTCATTATATGCAAGTACAATCCATATATGTTGTTAGATTAAAAAATAAATGAATAACCACACTGAAACAACATTATATTAAAAACTCACTAAGTTGAATATGAAACACATGTATAAAAAAGCAGCATAATGTTGGAAATTTGCCGGGAAATGCATTTAAGATGTTCCAAGCTCATTTTACTTTGCTGGTCTTACCCTCCTGTGGGTACTGTACAACACACAGAGTGGGAAAATGTCATTAGCCATGTACTACACTCAGTTGACTAGAAGGTTCCTACTGCTTTCTTCAACTGCTATGGTTCATTTTACTGACAGCCTCCATCCATCTTCCCGGCAAGTACCAAATCCTGCCGTTTATGTGATGTACCTGGGCTAGCTCATACTAAGCAGCCCCTATCTTGGATGCTTAATTAAAAACTTCAATTCTAGAAAGACCTTTCTACTGTAGGTGAAATGACTATGCAAGTAAGGTGTTATGCAATGCTTTGTTGTTATATCAGACAGCATTCAATGTCAGTTGTCCTCATGCCGTGCTTAGGAATTATACTCATTTGCAAAAGAGCTTGTACTTCATAGCATCATCATCAGAAAGAATTGCAGGTATCTATGAGGATTCTTAATTTCTATAAAGTATTACTCAATTTTTCGGATTTCACAATTTGTATGTACACAGTGGTACTATTGTTTAAATTATTAAACTTATTCTTATAGCTGTGCTCTCTGTCTTTCTTTAATCATGATTTCACTTCAATAGGGGGTGTGTGTGTGTGTTTATTTTTAAGATCCTCAAGGTGGTTCGAACTATACTTTGCATAAAGGCAGTGACCTAGCAGAGTGAAGACTGGTCTGGGAATGGGAAGAACTGAATTGTTCCCATCACTTCTAATAACTGAGGCAAACTACTTAACTTCTTCATTCCTCCCTATTATTAGGTACAGTTAAGAACATCTACATTACCTACCTCACAGGGTGGTAGTGAGGACACAGTAAGGTGTTTTAAAACTGTATTTTATAAAATCCTGTACTATTTCACATTGGACTGATTTCCTTCACCTAAAAAATGAATATTCAACACATTTTTATTGTTTGAATTGTTTGACTATTTCTTGTTCAAATATTCATGTTCAGCATAAATAAGCCAATGTCTTTATTAAATAAGGGAGGGTACCACCTTTTTAAAACCTAGGAAATAACCTTCTGAAAACAGCAACTTGGAAGAGAAGTTTTGATGAAGAGCTGGAACTGTCCTAACAGGTTCAGTCACAATCCAGGCAGACATAACACATGAGTTCTTACCTGTCTTCCTTTATTCTTGCCAGCAAGGGCTCCAGCCATCCTAACGTGCATTCACAGTGTGCATCGAGAAAAGTTATGACCTGCCCTTTTGAAGCAGCTGCTCCTCGAAGGCGGGCACGTATTAACCCAGAGCGTTCTTCCATTCTAATAATTTTTACTGGCACTTCTAAATTTTTCACATAATTCTCTAATGTCAACTTGAGAAAATCTGTAACATGTAATAAGAATTTATCAGAAAGTTTTGAAACTGTTTTAAGACATAGCAGAGATATCCTGCCCAGATGGAAATTCAACACACAGGAATGGTGGCCAACTCCTGTCAATATTTTTTGCATTAGGTGAAATAAAGATATAGAGATTTCATCAGTAAATTAACGTACAGTTCATTGTGACCCTGTCACTTGGCCGGCAAGGATAAGGATAAAATAGCAAGTTAATATACCAGACTTTAATTTAGAACCTGGGTCACATTGGAAAATGCTGGCTCCTCAGTTACAAGTTATTTTGCATTTGTCTGAACTGAAAGAATAAAATGACAAGCATCCACAGAGTCACATATATGCTCAATCATATGATCAGTTGAGCTGGAAAGAAAAGAAACACTTTTGAGAATCATTTTGGCTGATTTCTTAGGTTAGTAAGAGCCAAATTGAATCCTGAGAGAAACTGAAAGAACTAGTTAATTGTTACTAGAGTTGGCCTTGACTAGGTATATTGATGAAAATTTGATAGGTGATTTCAGGATTAGTATAATTATAAGGAAAATATAGACCGTTGCCCAGCTATCTTTTTGACTATAATAAAGTTTTCTGATTTAAAAAATATATACAGGAGAAATATTTATACCTCTTTCACTGGCATCATCTACCAAGATGACCTCAGAGAGTAGGTAGTGTGGGGACCGATTTATAACACTGTACACAGTTCTAAGGAGAGTGCTCCATGCTTCATTATGAAACACAATGACTACACTTGTGTTTGGAAGTTCATCAGGGTAGACCTTTGTCTTGCATCTGGAAAAGAGGAAAGAAGAGGGACATGTTTATAAATTCATTTTTCATTCTGATCATTGTAATAAAAAATATCCATAATAACACAACTTTAGACTTGAAAGCCCCTTCCTAAAAAAAAAAAAAAAAATTTTATGATTATCTAAAATCATTTTCCTTTTTATAAATGCTGTGAGTAATCACTTGGCATCTTGAAAATTAAATACGTGTAATTACTAATATTTTATTTTAACTCCTGCAGGGAACAAAGCAGCATGATTTCCACAAGTCTAAGAAAGCTAAAATAACATTCTGAGACTATCAGAGTAGATAGAAGACCAAGTACAACAGGGACAGATGAATTCATTTAGTGGATATAATTTTACTCTTTGTTTAGAAAAAAAGAATTATATAGTTCAAAAAGTCATAAGAACATAAAAAGGCGTATGTCCACAGGGTTTTGAAGCATGTAACACTGAGCTTATTTTTCTATTCTAAAATCTAGTCATGTGTGCTTTCCATCCTGTTTGAGAAGGCTATAAACCACGTCGACTTTGAAGAGAAGGTTTAGGGGCGAGGATGCATTTTGTAGATTCTTAATTAGTACCACATAATCAAAATCGGAGCTCAGAAAGGGAACAGGCTACCAGTACTTCTCAAACTTTGATGTGCATAGGCATCACCTAGGGATTTGTTAAAACACGGATTCTGATTCAGAAGGTCTGGGTGCAGCCTGAGATTCTGCATTTCTAAAAAAGTTCCAGGTGATTCAGGTGCTGTTGGTCTCTGGAGCACACTGACTAGTAACGGCCTGCACTGTAATCGTCATTACTTTTAGAACTTGATGTTGTGAGAAAAACTTAATTTCGCTTAAAAATCCAAAGAAGCCCAGATTTTACTTTTCAAGCAATCAATCTAAAAAGGTACATTTGGATAAATAATATGCATAGTGCTCTAGGTGGTCATCTCAAGTTTAACATGCAAATTGTCCTTACCCCTGTCAACTTGTCAACATTCAGACATTTCTATCACGTAATTTTAAATCAGCATGATTATAGAATATTACAAAAATGTCACTGAGAGTATCCAGAACAGGAAAAGAAGTTTATCTATCTTAGGTTATTTTTTCATGTAAAATATTCTGAAGAGCTAGAGAATTAAAATCATTCCACAAAATAAAATGAACCAGATACTTCTTGCCACTCATGAGCAACCTGACACATGACACAAAATTAGCATTGTTAAAATTAGTTTCCTTCACAGGTGAGTGAAAAAAATCCAATAAAATGTGGGAGATGAAGGCATATAATAAAACAAATACTGGTGGTGTGCCTGTTGAGATTTTAATCATCTTTTAAAAAAGTCTAACATACCATCTACTCAGAGAAGTCTTCTGCAACATAGCCTGATAAGAATGTACATATACCTGAACTATGGCATTTTTCTCAGAATATATTTATTTTAAAAACATTCATTAAGCATCCACACTATTAACATATTGTGTATATAAGAAAATCAACATGTTGGACGAAAAAGTATTTTGATTCATAGTCATTTCTTCCCATTCTGGTGGCAACATTCAAATGATTTCCATATGCCTCATCACCATTTGACTTGTCTCTCCAGGCAGCTCATCACTAAACGAACTTAGAAAGCCAACTTGATAAGGCAGGAAGGTGCTTGCCACAATTTTCCTCAAAATTCCATTCTTCTGCCTCATAAAAACATCACATCACCTCTGCATGCTAAGCAAAAAGTATAGTAAAGATAATTATCATCATCAGTAAAGAAGCAAAGCTGGAAAAACAGTCTGAAAGCAGTCCAACAGTCAACAACCACTGGTTTAATCCATGGATAAAATCTAGAAGTGCTATTCAGTATCATTTGGAAAAAAAGGGATTACCTTTAAATTATATATTTTTGTATGTTACACTAAATGTCAACAAAGAAAAAATGTTTGAGATATTAATTTAGATAAATCACTTAAATATCAAACTAAAAGCAGATATTTAGACCCAGTTTCTTAAACTATTTCTATCATGCTTTATTTTTGTGGTTAAAAAAATTCACACGTGTTAATTTTATATTCATTATATGTGACAAAGTTATAATGAACTAATTTAGTATTGATGCAGCTATTATGTTTCTTTAGAGAAAATTTCCACTCTGTCATTATTTAATGTAGCATAAAGACAAAATGTGGTATTTTTATTAATTCTTCCTCTTCTTCCTATGTAAACAGTTATTTAGCAAAGAAAACTTTGTATAATAATATTATAATTTATAGGGTAATTCTTAAGCTTTACACATTAATCATTTTCTACGTCATTTTATCCAGTTATCTCAAGTGCATAAATATGTATGAATAAGAGCTATTATTTTCATGGTTTCTAATGGGTTTGTGATACACTGAACTGGTATTATTGTCTGTATTTTATCAAAGCTATTGTTTCACCTCTAGTAAGATACACTGTGATTTTATGTACTACTAGGAAAAAAAACTATGTTGTCAAATAAACTATAGCATAATGCTTTCTTATCACTGGAATCCATTTAATATCTGAAGAGAGCTTATTGAAAAGCTTTTAAACTTATTTGGACATAGATTTCTATCAATATTGCCATGCTTGCTTAGGAATCAGTCACACCAGTTTGTTGTTGCTTTGAAGTTTCTTTCATCTATTCTAAGGAGCTTTTTTCATTAGGTTGTATTGCTTAACATATGAGAGGCATACATTTAGCACATATATCAGTAACAGAATATTAAACAGCTCCATCTTCTTGTGGGTTTCTTCCTTGGTACTAGAAAGGTGTGAGTTTCAAACTTTTAAGGTGCACAGGAATTATGTGGGGATCTTGATAAAATGCAGATTCTGATTCAGTAGATCTGGGATGGGCCCAAGCTTCTGCATTTCTAATAAGATCCCTAGTGATGTCAACACTGCTGGTCCCTGGTTGACATGATAAGAAGCAAGGCTATATAAATCAGTCAGCTGTTGATTAACAAGAAAAAACAGAATTGTAGTTATCGCTCCAACAATAAATATTTGCTTTATCATATGAAATATAATTCTTGCTGCTGTTTCTTCTCAGACAATAACTTTTTGATCCAATACTGAATCATACTATAATCTTTCTGAAGAAATGTTGAAAGACAACTAAACTCTACACGTGTGGTACAAACAGTGCACATAACTTAGTTGAAGCATGACTATATGAACAGCCATGACCATGTTCACACAAGCTCAAGAAATAATTAAAAACGAGACAAAACAAGAAACCTATATGACGGGTGGGGGTAAGTACCTAAAGTAAGTAGATTGGACTTTTCTAATGATCTCTTCTCCCTGACACGTGGTAAACAAGTTCTTCTTTGTGATATTACCAGAGTAATTTCACCACTGTCCACCTCAGCTTTTATATCTTTTACATAATGAGATTAACGTAGGTAACTTGAAATGTGTGGTAGCCATTGCTTGGTCTACACTGCAGAGTAAAGCCCAGAATCTCCAAATGGTAGAAATGGAAAGAACTTTCAAAGTTGACTAATTCAAATCTTCATTTCACAAACACAAGTCTCAAGTCACAAAGCTAGTTCAATACTCTGCATAACAAAGTAATAAATAATAATAATAATTTACTATTTAATAATATTAGTAACAGTAATGATGCCTGCCCCATATGATATGCTATCTCAAACATTTTAAATGATATTACTGGTGTCTGAAAAATTAGAAAAAAAAATTATATTATTTAAACATATGCCTTAATCTTACACTCAAATATATATATTTAAATCAAACAGAAAAACAGCCATTCCTCTAGGATCATTTCATTAAAACTAAGCATAGAAATTCAGCTTTCATTGAAATTATGTACATATGGACCAAATATCTTTTGGCAATCTGTCTTATGAAGATATTATTTTTCTTTTATGTAAACATCTAAATGGGATTGGCAAAAGTTGACATTACTATGGGAGCACAATGTATATGTAATTAACTTTGAGAGTAAAAGGGGCAGATTGCAATAGCAATTTTCATCAATTTCAAAGGAATATTTGATGCCCACTACTCAAATTAAGTTCCTGAAATCTGGTATTCCAGTAAAATAATAGGCTTTCTTATAGCAGCATTTCATATTTACACTATATTATGACATGCTACATCTATAATACTTGAAAGGAAAGTGAAAGTTTATTTCCTCTTAATTCTGTAATAATATATCTGTGGCTCTTAATCTTGGCTGCACATTGGAATCATCCCATGAGCTTGAAAAAAATACTGATGTGTGGGTTTCAGCCACAGAGATTCTGATTTAGGTGTCTGGGGTATGGCCATGAGTAATGAGATTTAAAAAAAAAATCTCCCTTGGGGATTTGAATGTGTAGCCAAAGTTGAGAGCTGTTACTTAAAGTTATTAACAGAAATACTGATTTTTAAAAAATATTTATATATGTAAAACCCTCTTTTTGCTCACATCAACATTTTAAAATAAGATGCATAAGGTGACTATCCCTTTTTGTGTTTATATTGGGTGAAATTAATAAGGCACTATTTAGTGTAATTTTAAGCACTGGAGTCAGAAAGTCTTCTTCATTTCATTTGTAATCTCTTCTGCCATCTGGATGTACACTAACGTTGGTCCAGTCTTCTCTGTATCAGCTGTTGATTTATAAATATATGAGAAATAAATCCAGCTGCTCTTCTTTGGAGAGAATATGGGGGTAGAATCATGATTCCAACGTCTGGAACATGGAAATGCAGTGAGATAGTATACCTATTTACCATCTATCCCCTTGGCTATGCACACATTATGGGAACATAGACTGTAACAATTTGATTTTATTCTTTTCAAAACCATATTGATGTTTTTGGAAAAGCTACTGAACACAACATGCCACATCAAAGAAAGAAAAATTGACTGTAAGATGAGAATGTGAAATCACAAAGGATGCATAATTACACAGTGGTTTAGTTAGACACAATCCGTTTAGGTCTCCAAACAAAGGCTGTCAACGCTGT